CAATAACGAGTGTTGTTTTAACGGGTCTGCGTTTTGGCAGGTCTACGTTTTGGGAGGATACCTACCCTACACAACGAGATCTGACTTGGTTGCGGTTCAGGGAAATTTGACAGCAAATCGCTACATGAATTAAATTCTTCAACCTTACCTTCTTCCAATCAGTGACCGCCAAAGGGACAACGCTCCACCGCACACAGCTCGTGTCACGGTAGACTACCTTCATAATGCCAACTTCAACGATTAGCCCTCGCCGTCGAAATCTCCAGATTTCAACCCAATCGAACTACCCTTAGATGAACTCGATCGACGTGTACGTCAATGTCAAAACACGACGCAGAAACTCCCACAACTGGCCAACGCGTTACAAGCAGAATTGCTCGGAATTCCGCAGGACGAATTCGTACACTTATCTAGTCAGTGCCGATGAGATGCAGAGCCGTGATTGCTGCCCGGGGCGGTCACACGAGATACTGAGTTCAGCGCGACCTTGTGGCCTTATGTGACATGACAACGAACAGTTTTCAATGCCTGTGTACGACAACATGTGACTATCGAGCTCCATAATTTCATATTTGTATCCATGATTAAATTAAATATATCGACTTTATTAGGTACAATAAATTTTCTAAAAATCTACTTCTTTTTTTTTGAAGAGTGTATATTACGTCAGAAGGTAAGTGATGTGGCAGTCGGACAGTAACAGTAGCCAATATAGTTCCAACTGAAACCTGTTTCTATATACAGTGACGTAATTTCTTATATGAAAAACAACAAATTGTTTGTACTTGCCTTTCGCGGCAATACATCGGTCTGTCCGCTTGAGTAACTTCCCTTTATCAAAGGGAAGCTACTCTAACTCTAGTCTACGTGACATCACGACCACAGTCAGACGTTGTTGACAGTCGCCCTGTCCGCTATAACGTTATGATGTGCAGTCAGATGTACACACAGCGACAAAACGAAACAAGGTAACAATTCGGACATATTTCAGCCAAATCCAACTGTTTTAATGTGTGGGAAAGGTTCAAAGCCGCAGAGGTCTACGAGCACAGATATTGAAACTGATCCCGCTTGGTTAGTGTTCTCGCAATTTATATCTTCAAAATTGCCCAAACTTGTAAAATGCCTTAGCTATGTCACAGTTAGACATTGATTTTCAGTATATTAGACCATTCTTTTGATAATAACGGCAATTACCCCAGTAGTTTCTCCAGATTCCCGATGGTTAATTCTGACTCGATCGCCGGATGACAAGGGCGATGCCATGTTTGTTTATAAACACTGAAAGTAGTCCCTACTTGACCTTTGATATTTGCATCTCTATCCGCATATGACCCCAACGGATATCGTTTTTATCCGTGGGCTTTATCGTACCGAGACACCTACCAATAATATCATAAATATATCTTTCTGACAGCCCATTGCAATATTGTCTTACGGCCGAGTAGTGCAAGGACTGTGAGGAATCGACTAGGAGAGCATTACGTCAGACAACAACGTCCAGCTGTACGGTGGCCCATACCCGCCATTGGTGAGATCATTTTTCATCGTATGCCTCTATATTTTATCTGGCGGCCGCCAGATACTTCCACTGGTGAGATCTCTGCTAATGGCTCATCAAGCAAGTGGTACCTACTTTAGAATCAAAGCTCAAGCTTACGGATACAATCTCCAACCTGTCGACTGCCAGGGCACTGATCTGGAAGTAATTCTGGTCACACGCGTACGTGGTATGCCAATTTGAAACGAAAAGTATCTGGCAAAATATAGAGGCATACAGTGAAAAATGATCTCACCAGTGGAAGTATCTGGTGGCCGTCAGAAAATAAAATAAAATAAAATATAGAGGTATACAGGGAAAAATGATCTCTCCAGTGGCGGGTATGGGCCACCGTACAGCTGTTCATTCATTATTGCTGCCACTACATCAAACTGACACGCCTGGCATGGTCAAGACAATATCAGAGGTTCACGTTACAGGAATGGACGTTTATCATTCTTTACGGATGGGTCCAGATTTTATCCGACATCGGTGCTGGCCATCAGCGTGTTTATCGACGTCGGATAGAACGTGTTTTTCAACTTTCGGCACTATGTGGTGGGAGCGTAATGGTGTGGGGAGGTATCACAGCACACCACAAGACCCCTTTAGTGGTCATCGATGTGCATTTGACATTCGGAATTACACCCCACAGGCCTTCCTCGACCATCTTGGGTCGTCAATGAGGCGCCGTTGTCAGGCTTGCGTCAGTGCTAACGGTTGTCATTCCCGATAGTGACTTCTGAACTGACAATTAACCCTACTCCTCTTTCATATGTTGACAGTGTCATGATGAATTCATGTTTCATGGGCAGCAATATAATATATTGTTCTGTAGCAAAATCATTCTCTGTTTACGTTTATGTATTATTTCCCATGATAGTGATGCACAGGAATTTCTCTCTCTAGCATATTATACACCAAAGATCAACAATGTAGCGAAGTTTTCTATTAGAGTGAATGAGTGAGTGAGTTAAAATTTAACGTCGCATCGGCATTATTTCAGCCATACACGACGAGACCAAGTTGATATATACACAACTGAGTCATTTATGAAAAGTTATATTTAAAAACAATTTATGAAACATATTTGAGCATACAATATTTAAAAACAAGTTATGAAACGTATTTGAGCATAACCATACCATGTATACAGTTTTAAAACACGGGCTATAGGCCACCGGTAACCAGTAGGCCACCTCGCTGGGGATCATGGGGACTTACAGTACCTCGGCTATTAGAGTAATTATATTTCGCTATTGATAGTTCACATATTGCAGACAATTTTCCCTTTTTCCGCGCCCATGGTATTCACATGAGAACACTGGAATAATGTAGGGGATGTGTATGCATGATTTACTGTATAATAAAACTACAAAATGTATCGACTTCAGGAAACGACACTGCCAGGACACTCCTATGTTTCAGGTTGGACAAAACACACTAATGTCACCAGTCATCTTTCACCCAGTTCATCACACCCCAGGGCCATTTTCATTCAGTATAGATAGGCTTATGGTATCTGTAATGGTAAGCATTTTTCTTTTGCTCAATAAAACATAAATGTATTGAGGTGCGTTTTGCAAAGCTGTAAACAGGATCGTCACACGATATATATATATATATATTTTGGAACTTTTAAAGGTATCATATCCTCTTGTAAAATTTCGTACCTGTAACCACACTTTTTATCAGAAGAGACTGGCCGCTGTTTTTTCCCCAGCGAATATGTACATTATGTCACTTCTCCATTGGAGGTGAATACCACCATTTATTTCAATGCCCATCTTTATACTGAAGGACAATGTTTTACAAAATAATACTTCTACCAACGCCTTAACTTTAAAATGCAAGAACTATTTAATACTCAAAATATATTTAAAAAAGATAAGTACATTTATTCTTTTAATCATTACAAAGTTCAATGGTGTGAACAGCCTTAAATATGTTTAAATTAATTTTTAAATGTTTTAAATGTTGTATCATGAACGGCTTTGAGCTGTTCTTAACCAGCAATCATGTTTCCATCAATATCAAAAGCAAAAGGAAATTGTGGGATACCTCATGAATATCAAGAACAGGATTAGTGTGCAGACTTCTCTGAATTTTCGTTACTTATTTTATTACACTTTATGGATTTTGTTTGTTTGTTTGTTAGTTGTTTAACGCCGCACTCAGAAATATTCCAGCTATATGACGGCGGTCTGTAAATAATTGAATCTGGACCACACAATCCAGTGATTGACATCATGAGCATCGATCCACGCAGTTGGGATCGATGACATGCATCAACCAAGTCAGCAAGCCTGACCACCCGATCCCGTTAGTCGCCTGTGACGACAAGCATAGTCGCCATTTACGACAAGCATGGGTTGGTGAAGAACTATTCTACTCCGGATGTAAACGATTTGATTTTAAAGTTTGGGTTCATATTTTGAGTTCCAGGGGTCAATTTTAAAAAGGACATGTACATGTATTGATATTGAAAAATAGTAATATGGTCATATTGATTTTGTGGTGTTAAACATTTATCACATTTTCTTCGCAACAAACTACCTGTTCATACATAACAAGACATCACACCTCAAACATTCTATCCTTACCGAACATCTCTCATGAGAAAAAAAGTATATAATAAACTAAAAACATCAGACTTCATGACCAGCCCCGTTAAACTCCAATACACTTTTACTCGCCAAAGAAGAAGCGAGGAGTTTTGATTTGAGTGCTTCTTTAAATATCACATGACAAACACATGGCACAATATGACAAACAAGAACAAGACCACAGTTTCATGTGCATTGGCGTCAGCAAGCAGCAGCACAAACAAGTATACTCACCGACAAAAGAAACGCGAATACCATACATGTTGGTTAATATATGAAGATTTACTCATATTCAAGAGATGTTAGACCCGTAAAGATTCGGGTTAGAATTGGTCTTCAGCAACCCATGCTTGCCGTAAAAGGCGAATATGCGTGTCGTAAGAGGCGACTAACGGGATCGGGTGGTCAGGCTCGCTGACTTGGTTGAAGCATGTCATCGATCCCAATTGCCTGGATCGATGCACATGATGTGAATCACTGGATTGTCTGGTCCAGAATCGATTACTTACAGACCGCCGCCATGTAGCTGGAATATTGCTGAGTGCAAATCACTACGACAATCATAATGCATTTATAAATTACTAAACTATTAGAAACTAAACCAAACTATTGTATACCCATAATGATTGGTTTTGTCGTGTTTGCGCATATGACACAGCACATGTCTTAGGAGACAGGTTACAGAAAGGAACATGTAGTAACGGGGAAGGGGCTCGGGGTCGTTATAATTATAGTGTGTGAGTGAGTTTGGTTTAACGCCGCTTTTAACACTATTCCAGTTACATCACGGCGTGTCAGCTTAATGTGGGAGGAAAGCCCGAAGTGATGCAGGTCTCAGACGTTTACCACTTCGGTGAAACCTACGAGAACGGGTATGGTGCTGACAAACCTAGAAACATAATCGGGGCGAACCGGGATTCGAACCCACAATCATAGGTTTCTGGCGTGCCCAAGGGACGCACAACGAATCGCGGCGCCTATTATACGCATGAACAGATCGTATATAACTGATAGATACATATACAGTCAATTCATGTCCAAAACGAACAGTTTTCAATTTTGATTAGCATGTACATGTGGCTTATGCTATATAAATGGATTGTTAAAAGAAATAAGTTAAAACTAAACGTTGGGTAACAGGAGGACTGTGGAACCAGCCAACATCGGCCCCTTTCATTTGGGTTTCGTTTTGGATACTAGTAATTTTAAGGCTATGTTATAATCTCAGCACTGGCCGGTTAATCCATTCAATCTTCTGTGTTCATTGAGCTGACGTCACGGAGTTCCCGTCTTTTTAACATTAACAAGCGTATTCTGTACATCCTTGATAATTATTGGTACGTCCATTAGAATAACGACTACAAACGGTATTATTATCAGACTCAAGGCCGAATACCCTATGCTCTGTGACAGTGGTCTGGAGTCTTGAGCACTTGTCTTTTTTCGAACAGTTTTCGAAAGATTTTTTGTTTCAATCGTTAGTTCTTTAACAATGGATGCTAAAAGTACATTCAGCTCGTCTTCACCAAGATCTGTCAGGTTATAGGTTCGACATATTGTGGTCTGATCTAATACAGGACCAGGGTTTGCAGACTGAAGATCGGATGATAAAATCGACGAAGCGGATTCAGGGGAGACAACACTTGTGAGTTCTGACGTCATGAAAGCAGATGCGCAGACGCAAGACGTGTGTTCTTGAAGAACCGTCATCGGTTCTGGACAAGAAGACGTAATGGTCAACTGGACTGGACTTACGCTCGGGCAGGACACCACTGACGTCACAAGCACCGTCGACGTTAACTCTGTGATGAGAGTCTCGGTGCTGATCGCACAAGGGCTCGTCGATGTCGAAATGGATGTAGGAAGATGGCACGTGCTGAGAACTTCAGTAGCTGTTTGGGTTTGTATCACTGTCGTTGCTACTGACGTTATGTCCGTCACTGTGACGTAACTTACTGGTTGAGAGACTGAGACTGTGATGAAGTCAGGAGAACATGAAAGCGTTTCGGTGCTGATGTAGACATAACTCGCCGTGCTCGATGGACACAAGTCTATACTGGTCGTTGGAAATACGACAGTACTGGTTACAGGAGCCTCAGGAGCCTCGGAACCTGAAATGTTCCAAATGAATAATTTTGGATTTTATCGAAAATGGTTTCCACGGTAATGAAAGGAACATTCTCAGAGACATAAACAGATTGATGGGTGAATTGCGGGATAGTGGATAGTAATATCCCTGTCTCATATTATTGCATTATACTATCTAGCATCATCTTGAATCTTGAACTAAAAGCGAACAAACATGAAATACTCATATCCCCCACCAAAACGGCATGTCCAGTTGTGTGCAAGGCAATTGCCCCTAAGTCAAAGTTGTTGCTTTGGAAACTTGAATTTGAAAAAAAGAAACTTCCAAAGGTACCACTAGACCTATTTATGTGCCAAGTTTGGTGAAGATATAATGTACGGTTCACACACACACACACACACACACACACACACACACACACACACACACACACACACACACACACACACACACAGAGTGAAACAAATAACTACCATTATTTGGGGTGCAGCCAGAAGGAATCTCAGGGGTGTCATCCTGGGGATCTATATATCCGTCAGTGTCGCTTTCGTTCCGAGAAGCTGCAAGTAGACAGTGGATTTGAAAGATCCTATTGATTTCGTGCAAGAACCATGTTTCACAGTCATGCACACCCGTCTTTTGTGCCAGGATCCGCTGGTCAGGGGTTCGAATCCCAAATTCATCTTGAATATGAGCCTTGGTTCTGAGCCTTCAGTTGTCTGTGGTTTTCTCCGACCAGCGCCACTTTGGGATTGTTTCCCACTTTGGGTTGAAGCTAGAACATCTTTCAAGGCGTCGTTACGCCCAAACTTCAAAACAAAAATCCCCCCCCACTGCCAGCATTACAACCTCAAACAATTATGAGTGCGATATAGGGTGGTGCGGTAGCCAAGTGGTTAAAGTTTTCGCTCGTCACGCCAAATGAATGTTCGATTGCACAAATGGGTATAATGTGTGAACCATTTCTGGTGTTCCGCGCCGTGATATTGCTGAAATATTGCTAAAAGAAACGTAAAACCGATCTCATTCACTCACTATCCGTACAAAAGTCTCCAACGAAAGGTATCATCCGGTTACAAATCATTTGCTGTCATACAGCTGCATTTTCATCTCTTTCTCCTCCAACGCCTTCTTCAAACACAAATTCCAAACTGATGCTACAGCTGTAATGGATGTCTGTATCATCCTTGACCCTGGTCTAGTGGTAGAACGTCCTACCGGAAAGCGGACGACAAGGGGTTCGATCCCCAGCCGTGTCATACCAAAAGACGTTAAAAGATCGTACTTGTTGTTTGCCTGACTGGCGCTCGGCATTAAGAGGTTAAACAAGAACTTGGAGTCGGCTCGGAGTCAGTATGCTGTGTCAGGGTGGGATATTCATGTTAAACTGCGGCATGGTATCACAATGGGCTAGCACTTTGAAATCGGACTAGTACAAGCAGACACACACACACCTTCTATCAACCGAATAATTACTCACCTGTAAAGCAGTTTTTCTGATACATAGCGTTGGAACCTGGAGGTACTGTCAGCATGACACAGAGGTTGGTTTCGTAGTTGCCTGCCAAGAAGCATCCGGACACTGCGTTGCAGACCTCCTGGCAGGCATCTGACGTGGCATTACCATGACTAACTACAGCAGCCCCCGTCCCTACACTAGAGTAGAGACATTTATCTGGAAGCAATAATACATACATGTAGACGAAATTAATATTTGTTTCTTCGTGTTGAAGATATATCACGGCGGACTGTTAAAAATTCGTCATAGCGAGAATGTAGCGTTAAACAACAAGCAAACATGACATATCAGGTTAAAAGGATTTGATGGTAGCAACCCATCACGGTGATACCTAAACTCATTATTACAATGATGAAGAAAGGTGAGCTGTAACAAAACAATACGCTAAATATAAAACGTCAACGCCAGAGAATAACCAGTCTCTATTATTCGCCAGGGCGTAAAAGGCAAAATAGCGGTACAAATGGTATGAATGGAATCGGTGTTTTTTTGCTTTCAATTCGTCTATTAATGAACTGAGAAACATCGGGTCAGTGGTACATTATTATATACTGACGTTGACGTACACGTCTGCAATGACGTCACAATCCTGCCCCGATGAGCACGTGCATTTTCATCTTGAAAGATGAAATGTTGACCAACACGTTGTGAAAATGGTACCATGCGTAGTGCAATGATGTTGTCCCGACAGTATTGACCCGTGACTCTGGCATGGACAACATGTGATACCACCCCATACCATTATTGACCCATCCACCAAAACGATCATGCTGTACGACGTTAACGTCAATAAAGTGCTAATTAGGTCATATCCCAAGTCGAGCGTGAACCTCGATTCGTCAGACAACATGACATTACACCAACGTCGATTATCGCAGTGCTGGCGTTCCCTACACCGCTGACGACTCTAATTCAAATGACGTGCAGTAAATTGTGGAATGACACGTCGACGTCGTGCGTGAATATGTCATCCGTGCAGACGATTTCGCAACGTCTGGGCATGTACTCTATGAGGTCACGTGCATCATAACTGTCACAATGTTTTGTTTGGGCGCTTGAATTCTTCGGAAATGTTCTTGCCACAGTAATCACTTACATATATTGCCATATATTGGTGTATTTTCCTGTAGTTTCACCTCAAAACAAAATATCCTCTACCTTTTTTTGCACAGTATAGTTCGGGATTGTTAGTGCGATTTTGTTTCGATGTTGACGATTCAGATGGCATATCGCTTTTTTTTCTAAATGTCCTCAGGTCTTCGCAAAACGAATGAACATGTCCGGCCTTACAGGTAGCAGTCATAAGATCATGTAGCCTCCTCGATGTCCTATTTAATTAAAACTAATTAACACCGGCCCGACCCGTGAAAATCCGGGGTAGAATAGGTCTTCAGCAACCCCTACTTGCCGCAAAAGGCGACTATGCTTGTCGCAAGGGGCGACTAAGGGGATCGGGTGGTCAGTCTCGCTGACTTGGTTGATGCATGACATCGTATTCCAATTGCGTAGATCGATGCTGATGATGTCAATCACTGGAAAATATGCTTCAGACTCAATTATTTACAGACCGCCGTAATATTGCTGGAATATTGCTCAGTGCGGCGTTAAACAACAAACTAAAACCGGCCCTTTTCGCTCATTTTAGCTACACTTATGTATACTAGCCACATAAAGAAACTGTGCACAGAGAAAATATAGATATAAGGGCACACCGTCCATATATGAAAGATAGGTTTGAACACAGCAATTATTGGAGACATTCAAACGCTCATGCACGTGCCATGCGATATGACGTCATTGATGGGGGCCTATGGACGTGCAATGTGTTACTGCACGTGCATCCTGTGCAGCTGTACACAGCATGTGCAACTCAAATTCACTGTCACTTTGGAAAGCATGATTTGTGGTCATTCAAAAATTCAAAACTTCTCAGGCGCAGACACAAGCATATCACAAGCAAATCATGCCAAGATTGACAGTTGCACAGCGTCATGAAGCCATTGGAATGATCCGAGCGGGAATGAAACAACAAGGGGCAACACATTTCCAATGCCATCGTAACACGATATCGGCATTGGTGAGGCGTTATCAGAACACAAATGACGTTGCCGACAACCCACGTTCAGGACGTCCCCGAGTAACGACGCCAAGACAGGACAGATGGATTCAAGTTACACATCTCCGACATAGGTTCCAAACGGCAGTAACGACGTCCCAGACAATTCCTGGACTGCGCCGTATCCATCCCAACACTGTCAGGAATCGTTTACGTCAGTACGGGAGTCGACCACGACGCCCTGCCATACGTCCCATCCTGACACAACGTCATCGAGTCAACCGTCTAAGATGGTGTCGAAATCATGTTCGCCAACCTCGAATATGGTGGAGAAATGTTGTCTTTACAGATGAATCGAGGTTCAACATTTCCCACAGTGACGGGCGCCAACGTGTCTACCGGCGTTTGGGAGAACGTTATGCACGCAACTGTATTGTAGAGAGGAATCGTTTTGGAGGTGGCTCTGTAATGATTTGGGGTGGGATAACAGCACGGCACCGAACCCCTTTGGTGGTTGGTCAGGGCAATCTCACCGGTGTTGGCTACAGAGATCAGATTCTGAGGCCTGTGGTCATTCCTTTCCTGCAACGTCATGGCCCGGGATTGACATTTCAACAGGACAACGCTCGTCCTCACACGCAATGGATTTCCTTCACCATAACAATGTCATGTTACTGCCATGGCCTGCAATTTCTCCAGATCTCTCCCCAATAGAGCATGTGTGGGATGAAATGGAGCGCCGTCTGCGTCGTCTTCCACATCCTCCAGATAACTTCCGTGACTTGGCACAGGATTTGAGGAGGATATGGCAGGCCATTCCCCAGGCCTTCCATGCCCATTTGGTGGACTCCATGCGTCGCCGATGCACTGCTGTGATTCATGCACAGGGTGGTCATACCCGTTATTGACTTTGTGACTTTGTCGTTTGACCCCCTACTCCATTTTGATCTTCTGACGTCATCGTAACAGATGTTGTTCAGGTCCCGTTGACATTTTCTTATGGTCCGATCATTCAGCTGCTACAGCGTCTGCATCATTTTGTTCTTGCTGTGTTGTATTTCAATCCAGAATATATTTTCTCCGTGCACAGTTTCTTTATGTGGCCAGTATATTTGATCACGACAAAAACTTTCAAGTGTATGAAAACAAAACAAGACAAGTTGTCAAACATTTAAATATTTCTGATAATGTTCATACTGATACGTCAAGGTTGACCTCACCTAAACAGAACAAGGTATGATAAGGATACGTATTGGCTTGAATGAATGATGTTTATTCTCGTAGATCACGGCAGTGATACAGAGATGTAATTGGACACAGGAATAAGATACAATGAAGAAAACATGTCAGTGGAACATTTCCATACATGATCTTATAGAACTTGCCAGTTTTAATAGAGTTGGCTTATAAGTAATGGACATCAAATGAGAGAATTTTACGGCAGAAGGATACATACAGTAGTATTGAGGCAAAAACTTGTTTCTAATTTCTGAGAGTTTTGGACATTCTAATAAAAAGTGCATTTCATCACATATAAAATTTTTACACAATGTACAATTTCTTTCCTCTCTCACAATATTATACCATCTTCCTGTTTCAATGGGTAATCTATGATTTGCTGTTCTAAAACGAGCAAGAGAGATGCGTAAGGTGATTGGTAGTTCTAGTAAATAAGGTTCTAGAGATGGTAACTCTTTAAACATGTTATAACCCGTGAAGATCCGGGGTAGAAAAGGTCTTCAGCAACTCATTCTTACTGTAAAAGCCTGCTATGCTTGTCGTAGGAGGCGATTTACGGGATCGGGTTGTCAGGCTCACTGACTTGGTTGATGCATGTCATCGTATTCCAATTGCGTAGATCGGTGCTCATGATGTCAGTCACTGGATTATGTGGTTCAGATTCGATTATTTACAGACCGCCGTGTTCATATACAATGTGTTCATATGAATGAGAAATAGACCCCCCCCCCCCCCCCCCCCCCCTTCCTTGGGCAAGAATCTCGAGCTTATGGAGAGACTTCATCATCAGAGGGGGCACGGATGACCCAGTCATCAAAGGCGCCGCGATTCGCTATGCAGAGTTATGTCCCTTGGGCACGCCAGAAACTTATGAATGTGGGTTCAAATCCCGGTTCGCCCCGATTATGTTTCTAGGTTCGCAGCACAATACCCGTGCTCGTGGGTTTCACCGAACTGGTAAACGTCTTAGACCTGCATCACTTCGGGCTTTCCTCCACATTAATCTGACACGCCGCGATATAACTTGAATACTATTAAAAGCGGCGTTAAACCCAACTCACTCACTCACTCATCATCAGAATACGTAGAAAGATGTCTACGTTTATTGGTCTTTGAACCAGAGGGTAAGTTTGTGGCCATGGTAAATAGATGATGTACAGCAACCCTGCTCCCCACCCACATCGAGTGTCACCGAGGACGATGTTGCAGTGGAAGCCAGACTGCAACATCAGGGTTACAGGGGTGGTATACCCAAGAAATAAAGACATGAATAGCAGTCGTTAATAAAAGGAGAAATGACAGGCTGGTTCGGCCCATTCGGGTCGTATCACCAGCTTGGCCCATGAGCCACCGCCTTCTGGCATAGGACTCAAGGTCATCATATATCCGGATCAAATCTTGTATATATATATATATAACCTTGTGTAATATGATATTCCTAACTTTTCAAGTATTCCATGCACAGGGTATGGCGTGACCAGCCGATTGATAGAATCGGGCCAATTCTACCACCCGTCTAGGTGAAGTAAGGGTGGAAGTGGTGTATTGGGCAAGAGGAACACATGTTCCTGGTTAAAAAGAACAGGCTGCCCAATTTTGTCGCCTTTTACGACAAGCTATGGAGTCCTTGGGACACATTCTACGCCGTGTCTCCAGGGGGTAGAAACATACACAACATGCTTATGCAAAGCAATTATGTTATCAAGAAGATCAGCCCACACTTGAATTAAGATCTTACCTGCTTTTCGTTCACATATAAACTTCAATTTTCCGTCACAGGCATGTCTCTCCAAACGATACGCGTCTTTATTAAGTCTGAAGCATCTCTTCCCGCCTTCATATTGGGCATTATTTGCATCCTTGAATACATCAGTGACACTGAGATTGGAAGTGAAGAGGCTGCAATCACTGTCATCAAAGACACGAGTCTGGTCGTCATTCCAATACAGACTCGTCCATGAGTGGTCCCAACTAAAACCAAGATTTGTTACTCATGAAGAAAATAGTTTCTTTAATTATGTGGCTGAGGGGCCGATGTGTTCTCAAGGAGGTGCTGGGATTTTATAGACAAAAATAACTTGTCACAGAAAATGCTTGAAAAAAACATAATCATGCTTCAGACCTCCCCAATTATTAAACGAATTAGAACCAACAACAAACAAGGTCCTTATTTTTATATTGTTTCATTGCAGCTTACATGTCATTTCGCATGGCTTTATCGTAGGCTTTTCATTCGTAGCTTTGAATTGTTATATTCCTGCCAGGTTCCAAAAGTCGTGGTTCGAATCTCAGTTTTGATACGAATGTGGTCTTCTTAGGTCGGTGGTCAAAATAACGAAACCATCCAATTAAGTGTTATCTTTTTGTAAAAACAGGGTCGGCAGGATGAGAGAAAGACAAATTCTCTATTTCAAATTTTGCTTTTGCGGGAACATGTGACAGGAATGTTTAACACTGTACACCCTAATTTTGGGAACAAAGTCACACACTGTGCAGCTTACTAGTGAATCTATATCTTCGAATAGTATTCGACGGATCTGGGGCAGGCGGAGAACCACACAGTGTTTTATCATTGTGTCGTTCACAGGCGGTAAAGTAATAACCCCCCCCCCCCCCACCCCTACCCCCACCCCCACCCCCAACCCCCCTCAACCCCCGTAAATCGAGTGAAAGATAACAACAGGCCAACGGTGCGTGTGGCATTAGATTATAGCTTTTGTCAAAGTGTGCATCACAAATATGGGGCTAAACTGACTGTATAAACTGAAAGTGTTGGGTGACACGTAAGATCAGACCAGATGAATGATTTGCTCCTCTGAATAGCAACCACAACCTGTGTTCCACAATTATGAGCTTATGACTGGGGGCAGGTTACTCACAATTGGGATCTTATGAATAGGGATAGGCTACTCCAAACTGCGAACTATGATCAAGGGTAGGTTAACCGGAATTGTGGAAGGGTGAAGGTGAGGTTACTCCAAAGGGTAAATAAAGTGTCCAAACCATTTCCATTGTCATAACAAATCTCTGCTAAAAGCTGAGTCCATCGCTCGAATCCGACTGTATATGTAGCATGTATTACTGAATCACTATCAAATAGTATTGATACGAGGTGTTCGCAAAGAGGTTTTCGCTAAGATGTGACGCCTCATCGGTGACTTCCGGAAGTTAATGATCAGGGACTGTAAGATCATGATCAAGGATATGTGACTCGAAACCGTGAGTTTATGATCAAGGTCAGGTTACTCTGAACAGTGTTATGACCAGGTGCAGGTTGTTTCGAAAAGAGAGCTTGTAAATGATCGGGCAGGTTAATCCGAACATGGAGTTTATGATCAAGGTCAGGTTACTCTGAACAGTGTTATGACCAGGTGCAGGTTGTTTCGAAAAGAGAGCTTATAAATGAGCGGGCAGGTTAATCCGAACATTGAATTTATGATTATGGCCAGGTTTCTCGGAACAGTTAGTTTGTGACCAAGGTCAGATAATTTCGAACAGTGACTTTATGACCAGGGGCAGGTTACTCCGAAAAGGGAGTTATGATTAGGGCAGGCTACTCCGAACTTTGATTTTTTTGTCAAAGACAGGCTGCTCACAACGATGAGGTTATGTTGAGGGATAGTAACTAGAATGAATGAATGAGTGAATGAATAATGCTTTACTCGACATAAGCCAGGAAGTTTGAAACTGTGACATTATTATAAGGGCATATTACTCCAATCTGTGAGTAATAATCTGAGGAAGGTATCTCCAAAGTATGAAGAGACGGGACCAATGCCACTTCCAATTTAACATGAATCGTATGTCGCGTCCAAAAAAGACGAAATGTGAGTTTCATAAATCCTTACAATGAAAAATATATGAGAAACAAAAGAAAAGTAAAATGGGTATAGACTATTTTATAATTAAAGTATCACATATGATCTGTTTATAATATCCTTATGAACGAACTTTGCTTTCCAAGGGAATCCATCAGCAGATTGTGCTTCAGCCATTTGAAATAATCCGAGTGTGTCAAATCGGGCAAGGTAGCCCCCAATAGAACCGCACACACTTCGCGCTGTGTTCCAAGACTGGCCCTTGTTGAAGTATATATATTCGCTCATCCCGTTCACAGAATTTGCTGGAATATAAAACAATATAATTGCAACGTCAAAATGAAATAATTTATGCTGATCAAAAACCAAAATGATTTCAAAATATTTCAAAAGTATTTCTATATAAGTAATTCACGATTTTATGGTGAACCCTTGTAGTTTATTTGTCTGCAAATCTGAAAACAAAGAATGTCTCTATTCCCTTTTTCAGTTCAATTTCTTTGTTTGTTGTTTAGCGCCGTCAAAATATTCAAGATATCTGTGAATTGCTAGTCTGGACCAGACACTCAAGTTGTTGACATCATGAGCATCAATCTACGGAATTTGTAATTTGATGACATGCATCAACCAAGTCAGCGAGCCTGACCACCCAATCTCATTAGTCACGAGACGCATTTGTTGCTAAAGATCAACTCTAACACAGATCGTCATGACGTGATGCTCTTATTGCATTTGCACACAGTCCCTGTTATCTAATGTATTAAATATTCATTGTAAGAACTTGAGTGCACCATGATCCAAAGTTTAACTACAGCTCTGTCGTCACTCTATTGTTTCAATGGGGGCACGGGTGGCCCAGTCGTCTAAGGCGCCGCGATTCGCTGTGCAGAGTTGCGCCCCTTGGGCACGACAGAGACCTATGATTGTGGGTTCGAATCCCGGTCAGCACCATACCCGTGCTCGTGGGTTTCACCGAAGTGGTAAATGTCTGAGACCTGCATCACTTCGGGCTTTCCTCCCATATTAATCTGACACGCCGCGATATGACTTGAATAATGTTAAAATCGGCGTTAAACCCAACTCACTCACACTATTGATTCAATAGCAGATTATCTTTAACGAATTGACGGTTCACTGAACACCTCTCTGCAATGCAAATATTAAGCTAAGGCATTAATTCTAAGCTCGTGCATTACGAATGCTGTGGCTAAAACGATCAAATCGCACAAAATGACGTACACTACGAATATACGGGCTATAGTTTATTGAAGTCTATTGATTCCTCTTTTGCTTAAGATCCCGGTTAAAAGTTTTTGATGGTTGGTTTGAAATCACTGTACGGGATAAGGAGAAGAGATAACGGTTTGTCAAGAGCTGCTCTGCTACAGCATCGGTCTTTGAGTTACCTGCTATGCCAATGTGACTTGGTAACCAGCACAAGGCAATGTCACATTGGCCAAAGGAAAGATCATTGTAAAGTTCTAAAATGTCTAGGATTAAGACACTTTTCAGTGTCTGAAGGCATAACAAAGACATTTTTAGATTAATTTTATTGTTTAATATATGTCAAAGCTGTTAAGATAGCTGAGGTCTCAGAAGTGAAGATCTATTATCTGGATGCAATGACAGTGGCACTTGCAACTTTGCCACCATCCTTAGATCAGTCTGTAAAATGGATCTATGAGAATTATACTTAGTTCGTAATTGGTTATATTTCTGTTGGTATACAAAAGAATTTGCTTCGGAATTTTTATACTGTGGTTGGTTGGTTAGTTGGTTTGTTGTTTTACCCCGCACTCAGCAATATTCCAGCTATATGACGGCGGTCTGTAAATAATCGAGTCTGGACCAGACAATCCAGTGATTGACATCATGAGCATCGATCCACGCAATTGGGATCGATGATATGCATCAATCAAGTCAGCGAGCCTGACCACCCGATCCCGTAAGTCGCCTTTTACGACAAGCGTAGTCGCCTTTTACGGCAAGCATGGGTTGCTGAAGACCTATTCTACCCCGGATCTTCACAGGTCTGGAAGGTGAGGTCAACCTCTGGTTTCACCATCTGCCAGGGAGGAAGAAGACAAGACGGTAAGGTAATACATCAAGATCTATTTTAGCCGCAGTGATGTGTGGTTGAATTGTGATTCCAAGCGGTGGAACAAGGTTTGATAAAATCGAAACCGGTGCTCATAAGGTTGGTTGAAAACACATGTCTAAGCTGGAGTTGACTGTGTGTTTGCTGTTTAATGCCACACAGTCAGCACTATTCCAGCGAAATGGCGGCGGTCTGTAAATAATCGAGTCTGGACCAGACAATCCAGTTATTAATGCCATGAGCATCGATCCATGCAATTGGGATCGATGACATACATCAGAAATAATTATGGAAGATTATTTATCAAAAGTTAATGTTAAAAAATTTCGAACGGCTCTTTCACGTTTTAGATGTTCTTCTCACGACCTTTTAATAGAAACAGGGCGCTATGTAAACATTCCTCGTGAAGAAAGAATCTGTAATCTATGGAGTTTAAACTCAGTAGAAGATGAATTTCATTTCTTACTTGTATGTCCAGTGTATTTACACCTTAGAGAAAAATACCTACAAGCTTATTATTACAGGTACCCTAATATTATTAAATTTGTTACATTGCTGTCAAACACAAAAAGAAGTATCTTACAAAATGTGTCCATGTTCATATATTATGCCTCTTTATACCGACAGAACCTTATGAAAGAATAATCTTAGCTGCTTGGTATTAGGAAACTATTGTGTATATACATTAAGTACATATTTATAGATATTTGCTATCTGAATAAACTACAAACAAAAGAGTTAGAATGGTATTAAACTACTAGGCTGTCATATGATATTGTGGGACGTGATATTACAAATGGTTAAGTATAGTTATATGTATATGAAATGATATGATGTGACATGACATAATGTGATATGATATGAAGTGATGTGGTGTGATATGATACATGAGGGGATATGATGCAATATATTATGTGTATTATAGAAATTGTGTAAATACTGTTTTTAGTGTACATATTATATGGCTTGCGGTCTTCCAGTGTTGAATAAATATTGATTGATTGATATGAAATAAATTGGCATGGAATGACATGGCATTATATGGTATGATATGATAAGATATGATGGGACAAGCTATGACATTGCTAATGTGTTGTGTGATATGACATGTTGAAATGTGATACAATATAGTTGTGATATATGGTACGATGGTATGTATAGTATGTTATGATAATGTTATATGAAATAATACTATATAGTATGATCTTATAATAATGATACAATATGATATGATGTTATAGAATATGTTGTATGATATAACAAGTTGTGATATGGTAATATAGAAATTATGAAATTACAGGGTATGGTATTGTACTCTATGTGTGAAATTATGTGACTGCGTTGAAATGCGAGGTGGAATGACGTGAGGTGATCTGGTGAGATATGTACATAAATTGTATAAAACTGTATATTCTTCAACTTGTACTATAGGCCTGTGGCCTCTTCAGTATGTGAAATAAAGATTAGACATACATCAACCAAGTCAGCGAGCCTGACCACCCGATCCCTTTAGTCGACTTTTACGACAAGCATAGTCGCCTTTTACGGCAAGCATGGGTTCCTGAAAACCTATTCTACCCCGGATCTTCACTGGTCTGGAATTGACTACTTTGAATGCAATTTACTAATGTATTTCAGTGATAGTTTAATGCCGGGTATTCAAGAGAAGGTTCATCAACGGCATCACACAGACTGTCCACAGGAGAGGTCCCAACCCATGCTTGCCGTAAAAAGCGATTATTTACAGACCGCCGTCATGTAGCTGGAATATAGCTGAGTGCGGCGTTAAACAACAAACAAACAAACAAACAAATCTAATGGCCTTACATGCAAATGGAAATAATGCGAAAACAACTCGGTATTTCCTCTTCAAGCAGCTTCATTATAAATAACTACCCGTGATTGCTTTGTTTGCTTGTTCTTGAAGGCGAGTTGCGGATGGTCACAAGGGCAATTGTGGTCGCTTGTGGTCGTTCTTACAGAGTTAGTCTGATGACCAGTCTGTCCATATCATCGCCTTGACATGTATTAGAGTACTTGGGACAATTTTAACCCTATTTGGGCAGGTCCGTGATTGCTATATATAACTCTGAAAAGAAGTAACAGAACACCCGACTTTTTCATTGGACTATAGTGAATCTGTCAAGGCTGGTATTGCAACACAGAGCCTTCCAATTGTGGTAGTTCTTCAATTTTTTTTGAGTATTACCCTCAATGTTTGATCCTCGAACGCTTATTTATTCTCACTTTGGCAAGGACCTATATCATAAATTTCTAAATTGTTAATTAAATCAATGTTTTCAGGATCCACCTCTTTAACCAGGGTTTTGGCGGTCCTAGACTAAGTCATCATAGATACAGCACAGGAGTCCGTATCTAAAAATAGACGCCCTCATGCATATTCATGACCATCTCATGAATATGCATGAGGGCGTCTATTTTTAGATACGGACTCCTGTGCATACAGAAACAGTCGTTATAAAGTGGTTCCAATCGGTTGGCGCTCTTCAAACGTCATTACTCTTTCATTTACTGATAATTGTTAACAATATAAGAGTAAGATTATAAAGTCAATCACAGTGAAAGGTCTTTACAACTCCGTATCAATGAGTTGCTGGCGTCCTCAGACCATTGAATCAATGAATCTTAACAACATCTTGAAGAAAAAGTGCATCGTTAAACTTTATTACAACGGATGAAGAAACATCGATCAAGCTCGCTTGCGCCAGGTTGGCTAGGGATATCTAGACGTCAAGAACATCGATGTTTCTCAGAAGCGATCGGTCAGCCCAGAGTGATCAGGCTTGGTATTGTGAGGAAAGCCCATGAAAATGAGTTTAGGTGCGATGGGACGCTTGAGAACAACTTTGGCTGGTAGAATTTCAACCTTGCTGGTTCTGTCGATTTATAAAGTTACTTACAATGTCCATGGAATGTGCCTTTGTAAACGACTGAAAGGCATATCGTAAACCAAATTATCATATAAAAGGCTTGTGTTAAATCTGCGAGAAACCAATCCGATAAACTTGGTATCATGCAAATGAGGTATCTCGGCAGGAACTACTTTCAAGCCCCATGTATCAATGCGATGCCTTCTTTCTCAATAACCTATTGACCAACGTTCTCAATATGCTTACAAGGGGTTTTCCAATGTATCGGGTAAACATGGCGACAAATATGTCTGCAAGTCATTTGGCACTACATTGG